CTTTTCTTGACAGACTGAGAATCTGGGAAGATCTCTGGTTAGCGGAGTTTACCAGGCATGGTGGTTTGCCCTTAAAGCATTTGGACTGTGGGCAGGCAGTAGCAAGGGAGCTCATGAGACAATGCCAGCACCGGCAGCTTCTCACTCTCCTCTGGGGTGGTTCAGCCCCCTGTGTTAGGCACTGTACAAACATGTAATAAAAAGATGGTGCTGAGTTTGCGATCCCATCCCTTGATCCATATGGCTATCGTCACAGAAGTGTGTCAAAAAAGCCTGATAGCTGTTACCATGGCACTTCTCCATATTTGTCTCATTATAAAGCCAAGTCTACCTTGTAATGGTCTTTTTGTTATTTTTCCTCTGCTTTTACCCAGACAGCTTTTACCCAGCTGTCTGGGTAAAAGCAGAGGAAAATAACAAGTTTGGTTTTAAGATGCTGGATGCTGCTCATTCCCGAGCCTTCAGCTTTCCCTCTGTGGCCCCTGCTCCAGGCTGAAGCACTGGCTCAGCAAAGGGGACCATGGAGATGCTCTCACAGCCACAGCAAGGGTCTGACCGAGTCCTGTGGGCCTTGAGCTCCAGTTGTTGGGGGAGAAGCCAGTGTGCCCTTTCCAACAAGATGGAGATGAAGAGAAACAAAAGTCTGAGCTGCCTCCGTCATATTTCAGAGCACCATCATCTGTTGGCAATTTTCTACTAATGCAGCATATACCATGTTTACAGCAGGTCACTGGAAATGTACCTGGACGCATTCATCATTTTTAATAGCAAAGCAGTGCTTTAGTGGAACATTAATTTAAATTTACCTTCCTGCAGAAAACCGGTGGACAGGGAGCCTTCCAAAAGATGCATTTTTATTAGCTCTCTCTTCTACATTTGGCTGCTGATAAATATTTATTTAGACTTACCCTGCCAAAGGCTTTAAACACAGCCACATTTCAACTCCTTCCACAGGTAAGTGGTGGCAAACAGCAGTCAGCGATGGGCACAGCCTACGGGCCGGGCAGCCGCGGGCAAACCCAGAAGTGTCTTTCCATGGTGTCTGGGCAGTGTGGCTAAAGCCTCACCACACGAACATGAAGGAGGTCAGAGGTGGGCTGGGGGGGGCAGAACCCCAATAACGCAGTGGGGGGACGTGAGCCCCCAGTGTGGCCCCTCCCAGGGCTGTCCCGGGGGCCCATCAGCCCAGGGTCCAGGGGGACACCCAGCACCCTGAGCTAAAGGGAGAGGCTCTTACAGGCTGAAGGGGGTAAGTTAATGACTCAGGGGGACAGAACACATTATGGCATGCAGAGGAGGAGAATCTTGGGATTGCACAGGACTGACTATGGGATGTTTAGGGGAGGAAGCAAGGGTGAGGAAAGGGAGGGAAGGAACAGGCATGGGAAAACAGACTGACAAGGGCATAAAGGGGCCAGTGGCATGTACAGTGTTGGCTGGTCCGTATGTCTGTCTGGCCATGCTCTGCGCCTGCTCAGCAGGGCCTGTCTTCTCACTGGACTCCATTTCAGATGCTTTTCCTGGGTGAAGGACTCTCTACTCTGTGTGCTCATGTGTGTTTGGGGGTCTAGGTGAATCCCTGGTGAATGTCAAGCCAGACTAGCTGGTGAGTGGGATAAGGGGCTTTGGGAGACAGGTAGCAACCGTAAGCCTGGGTTGGATGCTGGAGGCACCAGAGGTCTGTGCATTGGCTACTGGAGGGACCAGGAGGTCCTGGCCAGCTACTGGGGAGACCGTGGAGTCTGGAAGTTGGCTGAGGGACCTGTTTGTGTTTGTGCAAGAGCCAACTGGAGATGAGAGGATCCAGGGGACAGCTACTGTGTAGACTGAGTGTCTCAGGCCAGTGGCTAGGGGCATCCATGGTGTATATATGTCTGTATAAAGTACATATATATTCTATTAATGGGTTTTCATCCTGACCAACCATATAGCAGAACAAGATGAGGCCTCTTGGTGCTGTTTGTGTGTGTTGAGTATTTTTGTGTTGCTGACCATGTGCATACATAGATATCTTTTGAATATGTGTGTTTGTGCTCATATGCCCACTGGGAATACATGCTTAGCCCCACTGCCAGCTGGACCTGGGGGCAGGGAGTAGGCAGCCTTGCCTCTACCAGGTCACTGGATTCAGCAGCCTGTGACAATGACCTGTTCACTTGGGCTAGCAGTTGGGCTTGAGCCAAGGATAGCCTCTACAAAGACTGTCCTACTGCCTGAGCAAAAGGATTGAAGGGGAGAAGGTTGCTCTTCTTAATGCCTTCAAGCTTACAAACTCAACCAAAGCTGGATGATGACAGACAGCTAAATTCCCTGTTCCCAGCACCTTGGAACATCCACCTTGCAACACTGACTGGTTGAGAGACACGTGAGCTGACAGAGTTGCTCCCAGTGTCATCGAACTGCTCAGAAACAGTCATTGGCATGATTCATAAATCGGATGTTCCGCTACTGGTCTGCCTCCTCAACAGGCACTGCCCAACAGATGTGCTGAGACAAGTGTCACCCCCTCAAAAGCTGTCTCACCCCGACACAGGAGGTAGCTGCCATAAAGCACGTGTTCAGGAACTGAGCAGATTGAAATGTGAACACATCAGCAGTGTGGAGGTACTTTCAATGATGGACAACTCCACTTGCAGAGATTAAGCTGAACAAAGAGGCTTTCAAGGCCTTAGGGACACCTAAAATTTAGCTTTGGTAAATGAAGTTGCAGTCCTTCTGCCTTTTCATATGCTACTCTGAGCTGCTGTGGAGGAATACCATGATCCAGGCCCATATTTCCATCAAAACATAACAACAAATTACAGGCTCTTGTATCAGTTTGTCATTCTCCAAGTGATTGCAGAGATACACTTTAAGCTGATGAATTATTTAAAACAGATGCAGTACATTTCAGAAAATGAATTTGATTAAGTGGCAAGATATTATGAAGAAAACTGAGACAAAAGCCTAAGAGATTCCATTTTCTTAAAATATAGCACGCTTCCTGTCTGATGATAATTTTGAGTAAACAGATGAATTTGTAGGTAGACTGATAGATTGTCCACTAGGAAGACATCTTTACACAGGAAACTAATACAAAATGGAAAATGGTCTTGCTAAGCAAGACGTATTACCCTTTCTCCACTCCATCCATGAAACAAGCATTGAAAAGGAAATAACACATGGGGCTTTTTTTAGTTTCAAACTTCTCTTTTTTTCCAAAGCCCTGTACTACGTGGGTATGTTTTTGCTAAAGAACTACTGATATGTGACTCTGTAGATGTTACTGAATCTTACAGGTTCTGCCTAAATCTCTGTGCAAAACACATTCTAGATTGTCATGGCTTTCGTGTCTTATCACAGCATGTAGAGCTTTATAGGGAAAAGTCAGATCCTTTATCAGACGAGATTTGGAAGAGGTGTTTGAAGACATAAGTGTCCAGGAGCTTGTCTGTTTTTTCCCAGCAAAGTCAGCTTGTCTACAAACCTTGTCCTGATGATATTCTTAGGCATGCAGGCTACTACAGCACTATTGCATGAAATATGTAAACTATCTTTGCACAGAAAATGGAAAATTGCTCTCACATATTGCCTTATTATTATGTACTGATTTTCTTTCTTTCTTTCTTTCTTTCTTTCTTTCTTTCTTTCTTTCTTTCTTTCTTTCTTTCTTTCTTTCTTTCTTTCTTTCTTTCTTTCTTTCTTTCTTTCTTTCTTTCTTTCTTTCTTTCTTTCTTTCTTTCTTTCTTTCTTTCTTTCTTTCTTTCTTTCTTTCTTTCTTTCTTTCTTTCTTTCTTTCTTTCTTTCTTTCTTTCTTTCTTTCTTTCTTTCTTTCTTTCTTTCTTTCTTTCTTTCTTTCTTTCTTTCTTTCTTTCTTTCTTTCTTTCTTTCTTTCTTTCTTTCTTTCTTTCTTTCTTTCTTTCTTTCTTCTTTCTTTCTTTCTTTCTTTCTTTCTTTCTTTCTTTCTTTCTTTCTTTCTTTCTTTCTTTCTTTCTTTCTTTCTTTCTTTCTTTCTTTCTTTCTTTCTTTCTTTCTTTCTTTCTTTCTTTCTTTCTTTCTTTCTTTCTCTTCTTTCTTTCTTTCTTTCTTTCTTTCTTTCTTTCTTTCTTTCTTTCTTTCTTTCTTTCTTTCTTTCTTTCTTTCTTTCTTTCTTTCTTTCTTTCTTTCTTTCTTTCTTTCTTTCTTTCTTTCTTTCTTTCTTTCTTTCTTTCTTTCTTTCTTTCTTTCTTTCTTTCTTTCTTTCTTTCTTTCTTTCTTTCTTTCTTTCTTTCTTTCTTTCTTTCTTTCTTTCTTTCTTTCTTTCTTTCTTTCTCTTTCTTTCTTTCTTTCTTTCTTTCTTTCTTTCTTTCTTTCTTTCTTTCTTTCTTTCTTTCTTTCTTTCTTTCTTTCTTTCTTTCTTTCTTTCTTTCTTTCTTTCTTTCTTTCTTTCTTTCTTTCTTTCTTTCTTTCTTTCTTTCTTCTTTCTTTCTTTCTTTCTTTCTTTCTTTCTTTCTTTCTTTCTTTCTTTCTTTCTTTCTTTCTTTCTTTCTTTCTTTCTTTCTTTCTTTCTTTCTTTCTTTTCTTTCTTTCTTTCTTTCTTTCATTTCTACTGAAAGACATCAATATAATTTATTTGCATATTTGCTTCATTGCAATCGCAAGAAAAACTCTTATTTAATTGCAATGCATACCGTCATATTCACCTAATATAGTATAAATTCCCCTGCTGTTTCAATCTGACATGTCTTAAACTGTTGTGGTGGGGAGTAAACAGTGTATTTCATCTTAGAAATGGCCCTGTTGAATGATACATGAATGCTCAGCTAATTTCCATCTTCTTTTCCACAGTACTTCTTTCATTTGCTTTTTATTTTCCTTAATAAAAAGTCATATTTAACATTTACATTCACAAAAGTAAAAAAAAAAAAAAAGTTCATAAAACAGTTTGTGATTTTTCTTTCCTCTTCCTTTCCCTTTCCCCCCTCCCTCTTCCTCTCTTTCTTCTCCCCTCCTCTCCCCTCCAGCACTGGAAGAAAGGCTTGCATTAGAAGGGTAGCACCTCTGGCTCAAGTCTAGCCTGGCTATTGACTACTGGCCGTTTGCTTCTATATGGATCCTTCACTATTGATTTTTGTTCCAGGTTTAAGATGTGGGCATGTATCACTTTCCCAGCATCAGTTTTATACAGACTTTGTAGCTCTCTCACAGCTAATATCTGAGCTCTTCACATGCCTGTGTACAACCAGCAGCCCGGCAGGCCGGGGTAGGAAGCCTAACATCAGCTGGAGGGTGTATGTGAGCTGAAGGCTGCAGAGGCTCCTGGAGACACAATTTAAATGGGAAGGATGAACCAGCACCTGCCGAGCTCCATGCTGCTATGGGTGGATGGCTTGCTTCCAGCTACTTTGCAGTGCAGACCTGCACACTCTCTTCTGTATGGTCATACAGACCATAGTTTGCGATGGAATAGAGGAGCAATCCCAGATACATATGTCTTAGGCTAATATCCTGACTACTGGGCTATACCCCCTTCTTTCTGTATCGCAGATCAATGCTGAAATACAAAAAAAAGGAAACTATCCAGTCTGTGGACTTCTCATGGGAGTTGGGTGCCCTAAAAGATGAACAACTGTCCAAATAATTTCTTGAACAGCCACATAGTAACTTGCTCTTGCAAAAGTGTTTTGGGACAGATAAAGAGGAAGAGCATTTGGATATTTTTACAAAAGTGGCAAAAAAGAGAATTTATACAGCTTTAGCAAAAGAATGATGAAAAAACCTCCCACTGATTTCTCTCTCCCAGTTGTGGAGGAGTATACAGTGGAAACAGATTGCCAACTTTTTATTTCACATAAAAACAATAAAAAGGTTAATGTTAAGAAATAGAAACTAAAAACAGTCTAACAACAGTATAATTCAGAGATATGTCAGTGAATACTGGGACTGAAACCAGCTACCCTTATCTTGAACAAAGCACCTTTCTGGAGGAAAATATTTGTTTATTTAGATCGAAAACAGACACCAGTCAGTATTCTGACCAGTGTCCTACTAAGCAACAGGCAATGTAAGCTCAGATTCACCAAAGTGGTCTGAACTTTCCAAGCAGTAAGTGCACAGCATCTTTGCAAAACTGCCTCTCTCCAATCCAATACCTCACATCGGAGGCACCTGAGACACCTGTGTTCTTTAAATTATCTGCTGTCTAATCCTCCCCACCCACAGATACACATATAAAATGGAAATAACAATTTAAATCTATCTACATAAATACAGCTCTTTGAAATGAAGTAACATATTTTACTAACTGAATCAGGAGAGCATTTATGCACAGCACACACATCCGAGTTGCATGGGGAGAAGAGTTTTAAAGTTTGGGTACAATATCAGGTTGCATCCTGGGGATTACTATAGACAGGGAGTAGAGGAAATTGAGGTTAAGAATGGTCCAGGAAGCAAAATAGAAAGGGAATGGAAAACAAGTCAAGAAAAAGAAAGCTCCAAGAAGTAGGTGGTTCACAGTTACTTTAGGCAGCAGTTTAAGTTTCTCGGGTTTGAAAATGGAAATAACACCTACTTATCACCAGGAGGTGGGCTGGTAATTCATGTTGAAACCTGCTTGTGCTCTGAGATTCTTGGAAGAAAGGTACTTTTGGAATATAAAGTGTCATCCTTGAAGCATTTGTTATTATGGCACAGTGTGGTTGTGGACTTCTAAACTGCTACTAAAAAGTGATGTAGAAGGAAATCAGCAACTCATCCAATAATGAATACTTGGCCAACTCCAGTATTTCTACCCATAATACTGTCAATAGACAAATACTGGTGGGAAGAATAGGTAAGAAAAAAATCGTAAGCGTGTATTTTACTAGGTCTCTCACCTGGAAAAGCTGGTTTGCTAAGTGTACAGCTCTAGGTGGCATAATAATTTTATAAATTTGTGTTTATTCTAATTTTGTTTCCCCCTGGGAAAGCATAACCAAGCTGCCAGAGTGATGAAACCAGCACCAAGGAAGTCAGCAAAAGAAAGCGATAAGACTTTCATGTTCTCCTATTTCATGACAGTTATGCTCAATTAGCCCTGTACCTTTACTTCAGGATCAAAAGGGGTTTACTTAAAGCACTTCTCTGTCCACTTACAGCGATACAGTATGTGCCTTCAAATCCTGCAGTCACATTATTTGACTGCTTCCAGAGTTGTGCCTTTAATGTCAGTCCATAACTCAGTTCCTTGGGCTGCCAGCAAGCAGTGCTTCACAGAAGGGAGGAGTATGGAGATGTACCCAGAGTATTTCCATTTTGGTCCATCTCCGTGCCTCTCTGAGATTTTCTGCTTAGGTTGACAGCATGTCTCAGTCTCTTTCCAGATTGTTAATGACTTGCAAAGCTGAGAGCATGGTTGTTGGCATTCTCTTTACTTCATGTCTTCTGCCTGCAAGTGCTAAGGAAAGACAGAATGATTTAAGATACATTCAGACAATAAAGACAAAGAGGTTTAGCGACTGAAGTCTGGGCTTTTTACTTCTCTGCTTTTAAGGCAGGAATTCTATCAAGAACTGGATAACCCTACCCCAGAGCCAGGCTGGTTTACCCCACTTGATTTACCTGTGCCTGAAGAAGAGGTGGAGACAGCACTGCCTATAGTACTGTCATTGTACCCTATGCTGTGCATTGCATTCCTGATAGGTTTATGGAACCAAGCCCAGGCCAGCTCTACGAATGAATTGTAGCAAAAGCCAGACCTGTTCTGCCAGTAGAAACCCACTGCTATTAGCACAGCAGACTATTGGCTATGTGTGTGGTGACACCCTTCCCTAAGGACAACCTTCAAGGAAGCCTGTGGAAGGGAGTGCATACTAGGAAACCTTGTCAGCACAGCTGCTTGCCACTAAGCACTGCTATCAGGAAGCCCGGATTAGATTCACTGAACAACATGCTCTTGAGCTTGTCCTGGTAGTGCTGTTTTAGGTTCCTGTCCTAGTCTGTGTGTATCTCCCTTGACCAAAAAACCTCTGTGGAGAACTGTAGCTTGGTCATTTCCATTTCTCAAGACCAGTACTCAGCTCAAATCTGGAATTGTGCTCTTCAGCCTGTTTTGGAGGTGGGGAAGGAAACAAATCCAATTTTTTAAGTGTGACGCTTCACAGATATAAGGGATTTTTTTCCTCCTGTAACATATAAGGAGTCCTTATAGCACCCACACAACATCAACAAAGACATCTACTTACCTTTCCACATGATGAAATCCAACAGCAAAGCAATGTTAAGTCCTCTTACAGAATTCGGCAGCGCCTGTAGTGCCTCTTTTGCCTCCTTTTCTCATTTAATGCACATTGGCTAATAATCACCAGGGCTGTATCAACACCCTCTTTTGTCTTGGCAGAACACTCCAGGTAAGCATATGCCCCAATGCTGGCAGCTAAAGCTTTTCCTTCTGTGGTGTTAATTGGCTCGTTGCCTGGAGTAGTTGGCTTCTTAATATCTTCATTACCCCTTAGTTCTACCTTGGTAGCCACCAGAATAATAGGTACTGTGGGGCAGAACACTTTGATTTCTGGAACCCAAAAATCAAGGATGTTTTGCTGTAAGTCAGGTCTGTCCACAGAGAAGCACATTAAAATAACGTCAGTGTCCTTGTAGAACACTGAGCGGAGATTTCTGTAACTAACTTCATTCTTCCCTGCCACATCGTAGAGAATTAGTTTCATCTCTTTCCCATCTATCTCTGTGTCAGTGGTATAAGCATCAAACAGAGTTGGCTCGTAGGACTCGGGAAGCTGTTTGTGACACAGAGCAAACAGGAGGCATGTCTTACCACAGCGGTCATCTCCGACTACAGTTATCTTTCTCCTAAGAGCAGCCATTCCTTGAAAACCAAGATAAAGTATGAAATAGATTAATCCCATGCTGGGCATTTTTTTTTTTTTTTTTTAGCTTCTGTGAAGGGTAGAAGGAGGAGAAGAAGGAGATCTCATTAGTTGAAACTCTTCCCCTTATCTCCTTTTTTCTCTCCATACTGCTGCCTTACCTTTGTTCCTTATTTTTTTCCCCTTTTAATTTATCTGGTATCAGAATCTTCTGAAATTGTGAGTATCTTGTTCTTGACTATTATTCTAGGTCAAAAAATGAAGGTGTAAACCAATTCTGGATGTAACCAAGACTCCTGCAGTGCCTTATATTTCTGTTTTATCATCTTAGACACAGTTTACGCTCAATGTTCAGTCCATAACAGATTTCATTTTCTAGATTGAATGACTTAATTTTGTGAGTGCGATGGAGTATAAAACACTGTACTGAACAACTATCCAGATCAATTTTATTAACTACATTTTTCCTGCCATGGTCTGCTAGTGGAATTCTACCAATGGTGGCATCTATCTTGTGTTAAGTCCATGCTGCTTTTGCTCATAGATCTGTTGTAATGTGGAAGTAAGAAAGCGTTCTTAGTCTTCATATATTCACAGTTAATTTATATGAGATAGAAGTTTGTTAGACTTACAGGATAGTAATTTCCAGCATCAACCTTCTCTTTCTTGATGTTCAGTATTAGATAGGTTTCTTCTAATATTGTTGCCGCTTCAGCTTCCATAGGTCACTGCTTCCCCTGCCGAGAGAACTTACCAGCACTCTTCAAAGACTATCATGATGACGACAGTATTTAAAGGAATAGGTCAATGTTTCTTAATATAGCCAACCAATCTACAAAGAGAACCTGATGACATAGTTCTTTTTTAAAGAAAACTACTTCACTGGCAATGAAGTGGAAGTTACACAATTCATTAACAAATCACGGCATGTTTACTTCAGAAGTTTCCTCATTCCTATTGCAAAAGACTCATCCTGAGTGACCATTTCAGTATTGTGTGCCAAACTACTTGTGCGTGTGTGGCTGACAGTACTGGAGTGTAAAACAGCAGGAGACCTGACATTCAGACCCTGAAGACACCTCCTTCCAGATCTGCTGAGGCATCGTAGAGAACTGAATTGCAGAATCAAAGGATGGATGAGGTGGGAAGGGATCATCTAGTCCACCCTGCCCTGCTCAGATCAAGATCAACTACAACGGGCTGCTCAGGACTGTGTCCAGTTGGGTTTTGAATATCTCCAAGAATGGAAGCTCCCCAGCCTCTCTGGGCAGCCTTTTCCAGTGTTTGATCATTCTCAAAGTAGTAAAAAGAAGTCTGTCAACTGAAGAGTATAAAGAGAAAGAACCGTCCAGTGTTAAGGATACTATCTCGAACTCTAGAGATGAAGACTGAATTCCCTGCTAGTTTCTTGGCGTTGGAAAATCCATTTCCACTCTCTTTGTCTCAGTTTTTCTGGTAGACAAAGACTGCAAGGTGTCTGCAACCACAAAAAAACTGAGAACAAAGGGAACCAGAGGTAGATTAGTTTGGTCTCTCTGCAGAGAGAACCGTTTCCAAAGGCATTATTGATGATGCAGATACGTAACTGATTAGTATAATTATGTGGTCAGACCATTTATTTCATACAGCTACAGAAGAGCTCTTCAACTGAGATGAGGGGGTTTAGATCTAAAAATTTTAGCCTAAGGATGAGGAACTTCTTTTTGTTTAGTTTGAAGTGAGCTGGAGACCTGAGGCCACTTCAGTCTTCTGTGGTGGTCTAATTTTACTCTGCCAGACCATATTTCGTGAGTCCTATTCAAGTATGAATCTGATAGTCTTGCTGTAGGAACTTGACAAAATTAAAGTCATCAGCTTCTGACTTGCCCCACTTATTCCCTAGAAGAGCAGTGCCAGCAGGTCCCATACAGATCTTTAGGATCATTAAGGCATTTCTTATTTGGGATGATGTGCTTTCATGTGCACTGAGCCTAAACCTCTGTATGAAAATATACAGGAATACACAGGTCTTTTTCGCCTTCTCTTTTTGTGCCTTGGTATTCCAGTTTCTAAGTAAATCAGTCTGGCTTCTCTGCTGGAAGCACTGATCACAAGGAGATCTGAGAGTTAAATTCTGTTTTTCTTCAGGGATGCTGAAAAGCAACGAACCTCCTGTGACATGCAACAACAAGTGATTTGGTTCCTATATATGTCAGAAACTCTTATCAGCTTAGAAAGACATATGTTTACCATTTCTGTCTGTCCTCCCACATCTACTCAGAGCTTTGTCGCACTAGCTTGTAAACTGCTCATATTTAGCTAGCTCTTGCTTTCCTGACTTCACTGAGAAGCTTTGCCTGCATGAAGACTGCAGGATGCTTGTTGCTAGCGTTACAGTACGTGTCAGCGTGCAGGACCCAGTATGCCACTGCTGGCACATACGGCTCCCTCAGCACATTATGCCACAGCAGGCAATGTACTTACTTGCCTACTTATTGACAAAAAGGAGAAAAATTACCTTCCCTACTGACCTTTCAGGCTTTTGGTACAGATTTATGATTGTACACAAATTATCTGAGTTACAGACATGCCCTTTAGAAAATCTGTTTTGAAAAAAGAGCAAGGGGGGGGGAATATAATCTGGAAACAATCTCCAGCAGTTGACTGGAATTGTCTTCTCAGCAACAAAAAATGCCAACTGGATTAAATCAAGTACAAAACAAAAGGCTGAGTTTTAATCTCAAAACCACCAGCACAAGCAATGAAAGCAAGGAAGTGGTATCTTCTTTCTCCTACTTCATACTTTCCTCATCAATCATACAGATGTATGTGGTGCAGCAGAACTAATGCTCTCCTTAGAGAGTGCACATTTAGGTATTACTGGAAGTGAAATTTCAGCTTGCTTAAAGAAGTATAGTTTAGCATATCATGCAAATTTGATCAGAAAACATAAAAGGTACAACACCAAGTTCAAATTCAGCCCTAAAATATGCGATCTGGCTATACTCCCTGGTGCCTTCCAGACCACGACCATGCTTGAACACAGAATTGGTCCTGGACAAAATTCCCTAAGGAGAGGAAAAAGCCATCTCAACCCAGAGCCTCTTTTCATTACTTTCTTTCCAGGTTTTCCACCTCTGTTCTCAGGCACCACCCCAAGAAGGAAGCCTAAGCACTTCTACAGATTATTATCCACTGTGCTCATTTACATTACTACTGCTGTGCCTCTTTGTGCTGCACTCGCAGCACTGCCATGCTGCTCAGATTCCCATTTTCCCTGATGCATCGATCCAAGCAGGAAGAGAAAAGGATTCCTATCCTTTCTTTTATCCTCTACATCTGATTTCTACTGTTCTTCAAACTGGCTCACTTCATGCTTTCGTGTATGGGCTGGAGAAAGAATGCTCCAGCGAAGAGAAGCAAATATGTATAACTGAAATTATAGTATCAATTAAGGGCCTCCTCATTTCCACTTAGACAGCTCAGGTCAGGTACCACATAGGGCAGTGACGTTTATGGGCTAAATCCACTGCAGGAGAAAGCAGGCATGTAGCACATTTACATTAAGTATGAAACCCAGGCCATGATCAAGTCCCAGGTTTTACACATTTAAATATAAATGTGTGATAACCACTGTGACTTAGGTATTCCCTATAGATTCCATTGCTGGATCTACCTTAGGACAGTGAAATGAGTGCAGTCTCAGCCTTAGTGAGTCACAGGGCTGGGTCTCCTGATGTAAAGCCTCTGAAAAAAAGAAAATACGAAGCATTTGAAACCTAGGTCAAGGAATTACACAGACTTTGCTGCAGTCTTTCTTGCAAAGTGAGAGATGAAACATCAGGCCCTTCGCCTTCTGTGTAACTGTGTGGAAGGCTACAGATGCAAGACTTCACTGGAAAATGGAGCAGTTATAGCTCAGACCATAGCTGGGACCTGGAACTACGTCTGCACTGTTCAGTTACAAGAGTCACTGCCATGGGTTTGACTTGGGTTAGTTGGAGCAGTATTTCCTTAGCATAGTTCGGAAGCTGGGACCAGCAGACAGTTTGGCTAAGGCCACCCTGCTTTGAAGACTTAAAGAGTTGAAGAGTGGGAATGTGGGCCACTTAATTTGCCTTCTCTACACTGCAGCACACAGATAATTGCACTCTGGGTGAACGACAGAGCTTTGAAATGAATAAGCTGCATATTTCCCTACCTTTCGTGACACAGCACAGATGAGATGATCAACGTAATTGCTCATTTGGTTGATTCTTTTTTCTATTTAATGAAGTGTTCTGCTCGTGAGAAGACAAAACCAAATATCCAGGCATGATTCTTCGTGCCACCCAAAACTCAAATAAATACGGATTCAAAAGCACATTTAAGCTGCACCTCTCAGGATCTATAAAGCACTTGTAGTTTACCCTGCTGCCACCCCGAAGGTGGAGCTTTCTGGCTCCCACGCCGGTGGGGCTGCCACGAGGTGGCACTGAATACCAGTGAAAAATCCACCACCGGTTTCACAGAGCAGAAGAGCTTCAAGAGACTTAGAACAGCAAATTTAGATGACTTACAATGTAGAGCAAGTTAACCCTATCTGCCTATCGCAATGGCTCTACATACTTGTGATTATATTTAGAGAAAATAGCTACAAGCTGCCAATGCTCCATCGCCAGAAGGACATGCCAGCATGGGTATGACTTCCACACAGGCAACTTCTTTCGTTTCATGAAGAATTTAAAACTCTGAGAAGTCATAACAAATGTAAACGGACGATGCAAATCAGAAATTTAGCCCGTTAAAAGGCTATAGGTATTGTAGAACACCAATGCCTGTGACTATATTTCTATTTTTTTTTCAAACATCAGTTTGAATTTATTATGTTTGCTTCATGTAAAATATGCTGTACAAACTATGTAAGATCAAGGTACAAATCCATCTGTCACCATCCAGGGTCACGCTCTTTTGACAGTGAGAAATGGGAATGGCAAAAATCTCACAGAAGATGAATTATATTTCAGTGTCTAGGATTATGTGAACCATAAGTGAACCATCTGCCCTATTGACACACACTTCTGTAACTGTCTGCTGCAAGTAACTTGTCAGGCAATTTGATATACTCAGTGAGGCATTTGGTCTTCAAGTGGTTGTTTTTAAACACAATTTTTAATAACAGCCATATTGTTCAGATCACTCATTTTTTGTTTTATTCAGGAATGCCAGCACTGGCTAGCAAAAGAGGACACTTTGGATCCAGCCCTGCGAGGCAGTAGCCACAGGACATCGTTTAGGTGAAGAAGCTTGCAGGGAAGGAGCTTGAGACAACACCCAGTTACAGAGCGAAAGCTGCCACTGGGACAGGGCGAATGCCACCCGTGATTTCAGTGTGAGACTCCACAATGCACGGCTCCACTAACGCACCCAGCCTGAGCCATCTGTTTATGTTGAGGTACTTACACCCTATCCTCCGAGCAATCTGAAACTCCAGCCTTTTGCGCTCATTTATTTTCCGCATTTTTTTTCATGACTGTGACTTCCGATCTCTCTGTAAATTGAGACCAAAAAGGGCATTTCAGTTCAAGCCTGCTACTTCTCCCAGTTTATAATTCCTCCGTTCCCTTTTGGCCATAAAGCTGGCAGGAGAGAGATTCAAACATGATGAATTTTTTCCTTTCAGGAAGGGAAGTGGTTGAGTCCTGCGTTTTGTTTTTTTTTTTTGTTTTTTTTTTTTTTTCAGCGACATCCAGCGCAGGCTTTTGTTTTATTTAACCGCCTGCCATAATCTAAGTTCCGCTTTGCTGGAGCTTTACAGACCGCACCGGGGACGCAGCGGTTTGCCCCGTTTTCCTCGGTTGCTCGCCCGGCCCCTTCGAGCGGGTCACCGCGAGCGGCCGGCGGCGGCCCCGGGGCGGCGGCAGGGACGGGCCCGGCCGCCAGCCCGCCACAGCGGCGCAGGGACGGCGGCACCCAACCGGGGGCGGGGGGGGGGGGGGGCGGTGGAAGGGGGTCCTCACCGGCGGCGAGGCGGAGGACCTGCCCCGGGCTCCTCTGGAGGTGCGGTACCGCTGCCCGCCGAGCGCCGTGAGCCCCTCCCGGAGCCCGGCCCCGCTCGCCTCCCAACCCGCCCCGCCGCCCCGCTCCAGCCCCCCCCCCTCAACCACCCACCCCGATGGCCCCGGCCCGGTGAACACCGCCACCGCCGCCGCCCCCCCGCTTCCCTGCGCCCCGCCTCCCACCAATCGTGGCGCTCTCCGCCGGGGATGACCTCACTCCCTGCCTTCCCATTGGCCGGCTATATTAAGAAAGTCGCGAGCACCTTTAAATAGCGGCGCCGGCCCGCAGCTTGCGGCAGTGGCGGCGGCGTTTCCCCCCGCGAAGGGCCGGGCCGGGCGGTTACCGGCCGGCGGCGCTTGTCTGCGGCCGTAGCGCTCCGCCGAGGCGGGGGCCGGAGGCGCGGTGCCGGTGCGGGGAGAGAGGAGGGCGCGCCCGCCTGCCTGCGCGGGCCCGGCTCGCCACGGTGCCCTGTGAGAAGCGAGAGGAAGGGGGAGGCGGCGGCCGCGGGGAGGAGGGCGCTGCCATCGTCCTGCTGCACGGCAAGGCCAGCTTGGCGAGCCTGGCCATGGCCGCCATCCGCAAGAAGCTGGTGGTGGTGGGGGACGGTGCCTGTGGCAAGACTTGCCTCCTCATCGTCTTCAGCAAGGACGAGTTCCCCGAGGTCTACGTGCCCACCGTCTTTGAGAACTATGTTGCAGACATCGAGGTGGACGGCAAGCAGGTGGAGCTGGCCCTGTGGGACACGGCCGGCCAGGAGGACTATGACCGCCTGCGCCCGCTCTCCTACCCGGACACCGACGTGATCCTCATGTGCTTCTCCGTGGACAGCCCGGACTCGCTGGAGAACATCCCAGAGAAGTGGGTGCCCGAAGTCAAGCACTTCTGCCCCAACGTCCCCATCATCCTGGTGGCCAACAAGAAAGACCTGCGCAACGACGAGCACGTGCGCAACGAGCTGGCCCGCATGAAGCAGGAGCCGGTGCGCACGGAGGATGGCCGCGCCATGGCCATCCGCATCCAGGCCTACGACTACCTGGAGTGCTCGGCCAAGACCAAGGAGGGTGTCCGGGAGGTCTTTGAGACCGCCACCCGGGCGGCCTTGCAGAAGCGCTACGGCACCCAGAACGGCTGCATCAACTGCTGCAAAGTGCTATAGGGTTGCGGCGGGAGCGCGGCGCTGGGCACAGCGCCCGGGTCACCCGTTGTTGGCGGGCGGAGAGGAGCCGGGTTATGCACGCACACGGCATCTGCCTGTCCCCGCTGCTGGGGGCTGGCGGCGAACCGGGGTGGGGGCTGAGGGAGGGAGCATGCTCCCTTAGCCTTGGCTGAAAAGGGGTTGCGCTGGCTCAGCTGTGGGGACAGAGGGAGGGGGGGGGATTGCATGCCCTGAGTCTTGGGAATTACGTGGGGAGGAGCCTTGTCCTACCACCGGCCCCTGCGAGTTAATCGCAGATTCTCAACAACAAAAAGCTGCTGAGGCTGGACTGAGCAAACACTGCACCCGACCCGTCCCCTTTGCCCACCACCTGCTGCTCCCAGCTCCCAGCCAGCCTCCTCTCTTTTGCAAGGGGAGAGCGGTGGAGCTGAGATGCTCCAAGGGACTTCTGCCTCCTGCCTGCATGTGCCTCCCCCCCCAGGCGGGCTGGGGAAGGGGGCTGCATCTCCTGGGCTGCCTGCAGTATCCCCACCTCTCCTGCAGATGTTTCGGCCTGAGCCTGACCTGCTGTGGAAGTTAGTGCCCTGAAGACCGAGACTGGGAGGGGAGGGTCATCCCGAGCAAAGCCTGTATATATCTTACCTTTTCTGTCTTGTGCAAACTGGGGTAGTGCAGGGGGTGCTTATTTACAGTGAGGTGGGGAGGGGGTGCCCAGCTGGGACTTGTGTTGTGCAAAGGAACTTGCCCTGGGTGACTGATGCCTGCTGATAACGCGAGCCTTGAACTGACTTCAGCTGCAGAAGCCACCAGGCTGGAAAGTAAAGCTGAACTGCTCTGACCTCCTTGCTGGACAGCCTCCTCCTGAGGGACAAGGCAGGATGAGCAAGGGGGCAGGGGATGATATTGCCATATTATATCTTGGTGCCTGCTCCTTCCTTTAATGTTGTCTTCTGCAAGTATGTTAATTTGGGTTTATTTAAAAGTTTATTTTCAAAAGAAGTTACTTTGCACAACATGGTGAATTTTTTTTTTTTTTTTAAAGAACTTCAATGCACTTGTCATCTGCATACAACACTGTAGCATTGGAAACATTCTTATTCAGTAACCTCGTCTGGGTCTTGTTTTAAATTGACTTCAACACAAGACAAAAATAAAACCACTGTATCTTTTTGCCTTGGAAAAAAATGGTTGAAAGCACTGTTCTTTGTGCAGTGAGTACATCAGAATTTAATACTAAAGGGCAGTTGAAAGAATCTAGGTTTATTTAAAACTTATTTTCACAGGGTAGCCAACCCAGGTGAAAATAATCTTGTGTTTCTCTGGTTCAGAGAACAAATGTATCCATTTATGTTTGTTTACTTTTCTCCCTATTCCCTCAACAGTGGTACTGAGACTGTTTTTGTTTTTAATAAACTGACATGGCAAAAACTGAGATGTATATGATGTTTACATAAAATTATGAACTGTGTATGCAGTTTTTTATGTAAAGTATTAAAAGATTCTATGCTGACACTTGAGACCAGTGTTGTGATTTATGGAGACTGTCCTCAGCTTGCAACAATACACCTGGATGGTGCTGAGCTAGAGCAGGGATTGTCCCCTGCCTGCAAACGTTTCTGTTTGTATTTTCTCCACTGGCTGAAATACCTGTCTGGCAGCTTTCAGAAGATGGTGGTTTTATTTTCCTTTGGGGGAGCTGCTTCCTTATTTTTTCTGTACAGATGGCAGGTGGAAGTATACTCAAAATTCTGGGTGGTGACTAATCCATCCTTCTTGCTGCTCAGCACAGGGAGCCTCTGTGCCTGCTGAGCTTGGCCTCAGGCTCCCCGTGTTCCTTCCCCCTCTGCCCTTGCTGCCTGTCGGTGGCTGGGGCAAGGTTGAAACAGAAAACTGAAAAGGAGCAGGGACAAGAGGGCTTATTTTTCAAACAGAGTATTTGGATAAAAGCAGTTTTTATTAGCGGCCACCCCTTTGCTTGGGGTGAACACCCCTGTTTGCTGCGGACAGGCTTTGCTGGCTGTTCCACCAGAAGCAGGCAGCCACGCTCGCGCTGCAGCTCTCTCCGAAGCTCCATTTCCTAATCGTGGACCTCGTCGGTTCCCACAGCAGTTTAAGAAGTCTGGGCCTCTCCATGCGGGGGATCCCTGCGGCAAACTCCTTTTGCAGAGGTGTGAGAAAGGAGTTGAGCCTTTCGGTTTTCTACCCTATGAATATCTGCTAGGGTGCGCTGGATTGTTCAGAGATGTTAACAAATATCAAGGAAAGCAAACATAGTGGCTTTTGCTTGTCTGTTCACAGAGGGTTCTGCCAGCTGGTGACTGAAAGCAGACTAACAGACCAGCACAGAAATAGCTCCTTATTTGACAACTGCAAAATCAATCAGAAGTACTGTAGAAATACCTGGGTTTGCATTTTGAAGGCTTCACATGCTAGAGTACACGCTCATTCCATGCTGTGAGTTTATTTCACTGTTCCCTATGATCCTTAATGAAAGACAGTGTCATTTTCACTTAGTTTAGCCAGGATTTCTTAAAAGGTACCTAAGTCCCAGGTTTTGTCTCCAAGGATTTAAATTCTCCTGATATTCTAAGGGTGAGTTTTTTATGTTCAATTTGAGAACCTTAAAATCACTTTTTGGTCCTAAAACATCCTTTGAAAAAAATCTCAGTTTTGGATGTTTAGATGGCCACAGCAAAAGCTCTCATTCTTGCGAAGGCACTCTAAAGGCGAGTTCTGTGCTGCGTAGCACTGTTCTGCGGAATAGCAGCCAGTGATGTTAAAATCAGCATTGGAAACCTTTTCCTTGAACTGATTGCAATAGTTGCAAAACTTAAAAATTCTGTTAGACTGCAGCAGTAACTAATCTTCTCAAAACCTCACAGGACAAAGTGTTAATATTTGTATTTTAAACACTGGGAAATGAGTTAGCACTGCATCCCTGTATAATTAACTATACCAATATTTTCCGCTAAGGTGCTTATAAGGTAATTACATTCATTATTTCCAGTTGGACCTTTGCCCAAGTCAGGGCTACAGCATCTGGCCCAAGGGGGAAAAGCTGCAAGAAAACACATTTCAGTTTTAACTGTGACCTTTCTCTCCTGCTTGTGAAGCTGTGAGTAAGCCGACAGCAACATCAACATGTGGGAGTCCACCCACCGGGGTCGGGTGGTGGGGTCAGAGCCATAACTCATTTTGCTCTGTGCCGCATTGCTGTGCTTGCTCCTCAGCGTCACCGCTTTGGTGGAGGGGGGACACGAGGTGTGGCTCGTCCCACCCTCCTTGACTCAGCCGTGCTGGGATGGCCGGGCCCAGGGCTGCGTTGTGAGAACGTGACCAACTCCACCCCGCAGCTGCATCTCTCTGAGCTTAAGAAGGAAGGTTTGCACACCGCCGGGGCCAGCCAGGCACCCAGCTCAGGGCAGCCCACCCCGCGACCCACACCATGCTTTCAGACAAAGGATGGGTGTCGTGCAGACCTCCTCTTGCTCGTCTTCCAGGCTGTAGGGCCCCTACCTCGTGTTCATTTAGTCCCAGCCTGTATTCTGTAACCTTCTGATTGGAGAAGAGGTGACAGGCAGCGAGTTAGAGCATCAACGGAAGGTCAACAGCCAGCTCATCTCACAGGCCCCAGGGCACACGGCTGGGCATGCAGAGGCTTTCCTGGCTGTGTCCCCATGCCCTCACAGATGTCCCCAGCTGAGGAGAGCTTACACCTTCCCTTACTCTGTTCAGACCAAGTTCAACCTTTGTAAAAAGTGTTTCTTCTGCTGGGAGCCAGAGCTCTGCGGGGGGAGTTTGCTCTGTGATGGTACCAGTGTGTCCTTAGCAGCAAAGCCTGGAAATGTAGAAAAGCCCCACTGAAAGGCCCATTCAT